GTATCAATAAACTCCCAAGCACAGGTTTGTATTAAAAAAAAAAATAAAGCCGTAACACTTTATTAAATATTAATCTGCATATTTTATTAATTCGTCGGAATATTTTTTTTATGTATGTTACCGGATAACTTTGGACTACGTTATCCGTTTTCTATAATTCTTTTTCAAAGGAAAGGTGGTTCCCCAGAGGCAGTCTCCTACTAACTGAATGTAGATCCGATAATTGGGCCATAACGAAAATAACGGTAGGGCCTGTTCGAGGCACGTAATAAAAGCGGCATTACTGCCGTACTGATGAAAAATGGCAACATTGTTGCAACTGCCCAACTGATAATACATTGCTAGAAATTCATACAGAACGCGATACTTTAATAATTCGCGCAACACTGTGGTTGTGATTGCAACTCGAACAAGCCCGTACTCTTAAATTTGTATATGAGAATTGAAGTCGGTTTTGTTTTTTGTTTAAAATTTACTCCAGTGTCCACAGCTTCTATAAAAGAGTCGCAGGCCATATTTTTTTGTTACTTCAATTGTGGAACATTTGTATGAACTGCTTCGGCTAATACTTCGGCTTTTTTTCTCTTTTTATATCGAGGCTAAGTGCATTGTTCGATGGTGGGATATCATTGCCAAACATGATAGTACTTTGTTTGCCATCAATTAACACTAACTTGACGGGGTTACAGTATTCTACATTGATGCGAGCCTCAAAAGCTTTGAATAATAATTGCGATTATGGCTTTTAGTTTTTACCGCTCAGGTAGGTGACAGGCCTGTAGAAAATATTTCTTAAACACTTTACTACATACTTTATCTTATTAACTTTATTGAATTAAATTTTCGAAATTGGTGGCAACTCGACTCAAAGATATTTTCAGTAGTAAGCCTCCTTAAACCTTTTAATTTGATACCCATATTGCTGTATTTAATTTATCTTACCAATTTAGTTTAATTAAATTTTGAAACAGGTGGCAACCCCCCTCAAAAATATTTTCGCCTGTAATCCTTCATAACCTCTTTCTTTTGACACCCATATTGCAATATCTAATTTATGTCATTAATTTACTTATACTGAAATTTTTAAACAGGTGGCAACTCTCTATTTTTTTCTCGTTTTAACCATCCGGATATTATAAAAAACAAACCAAAAAAATAAAAATATTCAAATCGGTCAAGCCGTTTTCGAGCAATTCATTTTTGCATATAAGATATCTTCTTTTAAAAATGCGCACTCTCGAAATTGATTTTAGAGCTATGGTCTGGAGGAATTTTTTTCTTAGAATTTTATGAAGAATCCTAATATGCTAGGAACAATGTCGAAAAAAATCAATCCATACAAGTTGACCCGCCCTAGTTCACATACATGTGCGTACATTTATGACAAGAAGAGAGCACGCACAATCATAATACGATATACCGAAAATAAGTTATTTTATTTTATTAATGAAAAGGATAAAAGCAAAGGTAGAAATAAAAACCAAGATACGTAAAGATAAATGCAAAAATTAAGACCAAGGTAAATTTAAAAATTTTACTAATATAAGGGCAAAGGTGAAGGGGAATATGTAGATGTAGAAAATGATAAACATAAAGATGATAAAGATAAATATTAAGAAAAAGATGACGATGAGTAAAGATTAAGATAAAGGAAGAAAAAAAGATCTCTCTATTAACAGCAAATTTGATATATTTCTACTCACTTCTACGGTACCTTGCGTACACGTTCGTGGGTAACCGCGCTCTAACACTTATTTTTCCTCTTCCAGCGATAAGTGTCCGTATCCAACAGCAACGGAAAAAATTTATGCAAATAACCCTTTGCCGCTGAGAGGAGCACACATGTACAAAAAATAAACCCCCTCTTCTGTATTGTGGGTTATTTTTTCTCTTAAATAGTGGCGGTTATTTTGGGACACTTTCAAAGGGGAGAGGGATATNATTTTTCCTCTTCCAGCGATAAGTGTCCGTATCCAACAGCAACGGAAAAAATTTATGCAAATAACCCTTTGCCGCTGAGAGGAGCACACATGTACAAAAAATAAACCCCCTCTTCTGTATTGTGGGTTATTTTTTCTCTTAAATAGTGGCGGTTATTTTGGGACACTTTCAAAGGGGAGAGGGATATTTTCATTTCATTTCTTTATTAAGTCTATGGTTACAAACCTTACAGACTAGAGGTACAACATCAGCTTAAAGATAAAGCTTACAAACTAAACTACATAATTAGAGATAATTGGATTCAAGCTTAGATAAAAATAAGGATCTAGGAAGAGCGAAATCTAAATCAAGGCTACTAAATATACTATTAAGCTCAGTAAGGGCCCTTTTAATAGGGGCTGCTGGATTTATCACTTTGGGAGACATCGCTTTTCGTACCCAAAAACAGTTATAATGGAGGAAGAAAGCGGAAGATCTCTGTTAAAAATGAAGTGAAAATATTCTTTTCGGGAATAAATAAATTAATTTTGGATTTAAATAGTTTTCATTAACGATTCTCAACAAAAGTGGTGACCTCGAATATGCCACTGTTCCTATCGCCAACATGCAATGAAGACGTGGAGCAACCAGAACAGATTGTGCCAGGTCTTGCTCCGCCTACACCAGTCCAAGCGGTGCAATCCGCAGAATGTTTAATGGATTCCGCTGCGCCATCATCAATGAACATTCATGCGTCGACTGTGCAGAGATTCCCACCATTTTGGATCAAAAATGATTTTCTTCCTGCAACGCATAACTGCAGACGAGACAAAGTTCAGACATCTCGTTGCTTATATCGATTCTAGTACGTTCGATATAGTGAGTGATGTTTTGGGTACAAGTATGATACGCGCCATATCCGTTTTCAGTGAATCCTCTTAGGACGAGGTCAGGTTGGTGATAATGTTTCAAAATCGCTAGTCTTGGAGCAACTGCCTGAAAATGTTCTCGCAATTCTCAGCATCAGTGAACAGCAAGATATTAACAAACTTGCGGAGCAAGCAGACAAAATAATGGACATGGCTCGTCCTGCAAATATCGCTAGTTTAGATAGCGCACCTGGAGAATCAGCTTTACAGGTGCAAAGACAGTCTAAGAGCGTTTATGCATCAAAATTTAAGTTTTAACAAAATTCGTTTGAGTTAACTGCGGTTTGAAGGAAACATGAAACCGTAAAATTTTATATTTGTTTGTTTAATTCTCTGAACCGCCCCTGTTATGATATGGCACTTCATTTTATGTAGTAGTTTAAACATATATACACGTATACTTCAACAATCAAATTTCAAAACGTTTTTCTTGAAAAACGTTTATCAACATGATGCAATAATGAAAGGTGTTGTACGTTGTGACAGCTCGAAATCGAACTACCTTAGGTCAATATTGTATTTTGGAAGTACAAGATAAACGGGAATAAAAAAAAGCCTTTTAGTTGAAAAAGTACTAAATTGTATGCCTTCTCAACAGCGTTCCGATTATCAGAATAGGTATATATATGGCTTGGTAGTCTCATAAAATTGTAGATAATTAAAATAATAAAATTAGGCGTGTTTTTATTCACAGGAATATGATAATATGCTTAAAATTTTCGAGCTGATGAATACCCAGCTAGAACAGTATGGCTTATATAATTCCTTTTATGAGCCGTATCACTAAGAAAATTATCCCTTATGAATTTGAAATGTGTCCCTTATATTGTACAGGCCAAAAAGAGGAATTCATTTACGTGTGATCTTTTGTCCCCCTCTTTCATATAGGCTTCTTGTGCGCATATATCAGGTTTCATAGCTGTTGACCATACCAATAATGCCTCATGCTCAGTTTTACTTGATCAATTCGTGTTCTCGAGAAAAAAAAATTTCACGATTAAAAAATCTGAGTATAGCCGCCAAATTCTTTTCTCAAAATTTTGAAAATTCTTTGTTTTTTGCCCTATATTTGCTTTGTATGGTATTTTCAACAAAATATAGGCCAAAAACGATAAATGTTCAAACTTTGGAGAAAAACAATTTTTCAGATTTTTGGATCGTGAAAATTTTTTTTCTCGGAGAACACGAATTGATCTAGTAAATCTTAGTATGAGGCATTATTGGTATGGCCAACAGCTATCAAACCTGATATAGTCGCACTAAGGTTTTTTTGTGTTCCACAGTGTTATACAAGGGATACTTTGAGGAATCATATAAGGAATTATACATTACCCAAGTCCACGTATATCCAAGTTCGTGTCATACAGCAAGCATTGACTACTTTTTAAAGTTTTATTTATTTGTTTTTGAAATTAACGACATATTTCAGAATTTGTAATTAATACGTTGTGTTCATTTTAGTAAATCCACTTTTTTAATTGTACAAAATTTATTATATACATACAGTATCGGTCATATCAATAGCAACCCCATTTCAAAGTGATATTATTTCCCTCTCATGTTAATTTATTTATTGCTTAGAATTTGCAACAAAAGTAAAGTTGAATTTCTAACAAAACCCATATAAACCGAATTTTAAAACATCGTAGAAAACTACAAAAAATACAACAAATTTTCAACCAAAATTCAAACTTTTTTCTCAGAAGTGTTAGAATTTTTTTGAGCACTCAGTTTTATAGCCCCTTCAATTTTAGTCTAATTATATGCAAGTTTGAAGTGGCTAAAAATTACCTTAGTTTTTTTAGAATCGATTAAAAACAAATCGTGTTTAATCGTCTTCTATATAACGAAAACTTCGACCATATATCGATGGCTGAGTAGAAGATCGACCTATCTCGGCAGCCAGGTCGAAAACGCCCGATATCAGAAAGCTTTTCAACGCCCTATTTCAAAATTTGGCTGAAAAACGCCCTATTTTAGAATTTGATTGAAAAATGCCCTATCTCGGAACTCGGTTCAAAAACACCCTATCTCAGCACATTTTCGAAGTATTTTTATTTGAGATAGGACTTTTTTGAACCGACTAATAATAATAAAATATGTACTATATACATATCTAGTTTCAATATAAAAAAATTTATGTACACCATTAATTGTGTATACATATCTAAGTCAATATATGTGATATACATGTACATACATCTACATACATATCGTCGTTTAAAGTACAAAACCATGTATCAATAAATTGCAAAACCGCGTATAGAGATAATGCAAACCCACGTATGCGAGGTTGCATAAATTAATTTCTAGAGAGTAAAAACACTCATATTTCAAAATGGTTATCTTTTTGTAAAAAGCAATCGCATTTTTGGCTAGTATATTTCAGGAAGAATGGATAAGGATTGATCCAAAAACGTGTGTGAGCGAATCCAATTTTTAGCAGCAAATGTCAGTTACGCGGTTTTGTACTTTAAGCGACGATATGTATGTTAACAGGAACGCAGCAATCTAATACACGGGTGGAGCAGGAACGCAGCACAGCAGAAGCATACAAAAAATCTGCAAATAAATGGTTTTTTAGGTTTTTAACAAACGAGAACCTGGTTTCAACTTACTTCAACGTGTCTAAATCACAACGCACACACTAATGCAAAGGCGCAACAGGAACGCAACACTATAAAATACGGGCGGAGCAATATACAGGCGGAGCAGGAACGCAGCACAGCAGAATCGTCCGAAAAATCTGCGAATAAATGGTTCATTAGGTTTTGAAATAACAAAGAGCTCAAATGGAATGGTTCAGCAATAAAGTCAAAATAATATGTTGTAACTTACGTGTATTAGCTCTTAATCACAATACCAGCACAGGTCGGTCAGCGAAACACTAAGGAAATGACCTAATAAATGCAAAATTATAATTTATTTGTAAAATAATTCGGTTTTATTACAATACTTACCAAATTTCACGCAATTGGAAAACAAATGTCAGCGAATAAGAACAAAACGAACAACGAAAATTGAATCAATGTAGCTTGTTCAGAATTTTTTCTAATATTTTGGGAAATGTTCAGTGAAAATAGCAAAGAAACAGCACAGTTTCTCCTAAGGTAGTTCAAGATGGCGGATTAGAGCGAGAAGTTGCCAACGTATAACACCTTTCATTATTGCATCATGGTTTTTCAGATCTTAATCGCAGAAGAAGTAATCAGCGTCAAAGGTCCCAATCACGGCGCCGATCTGGAAGTCGGAGAAACAATCCGAGCTACTGTTGGTACCACAATCGGTTTGGCGTTAAGGTTTCTAAGTGCATAGCACCTTGTAGTTTTGTTACAAGAAACTAAATAGCGTGTCGGAGCTCGCGGCCACCGATATCGCATTTTCTACGTCCGGCCGCTTATTTATTTACGACAAATCAACAAGGATAAAGTTTTTGATTGACACAGGAGCTGATATTTCGGTAATTCCTATGGATAGACCTGTATCACAGAAAATTCCAGAAGGTGGTGTTCAACTTTTCGCTGCGACGCAAATTAGAACATTCGGTACTAGAATACTGCAACTAGATCTTGGACTGCGCAAATCGTTTTCTTGGTTGTTCGTTGTAGCTGATGTAACCAAGTACATTATTGGTTCTGATTTTCTTAAACATTTTCATTTATTACCCGACCTGAAAAATTATAAATTGGTAGATGGCTTTTAACTGCACCTGCAAAAATTTCCAAGGAACCATCGTTTGGTATTACAACAATAATAAAGGACACTCTCGCTATCTTGTAAGAAGAATACTATTTTTCATCATATTGAGACTTCAGGTCCTCCAGTTCGAGCAAAAGTAAGGCCATTGGATTCAAAACGTTTAGCCATTGCAAAAAAGGAATTTAAGTTTATTTTGGACAATCAAATTATTGGTGCATCAAAAAGCAGCCTATCCAATCCTCTTCATATGGTACCCAAAGCAAACGGAGACTGGAGACCATGTGCGACTACCGATTTTTTAATAAAATAACCATTCCAGATCGGTATCCCATTCCCTTTATCACGGATTATGTACACTGCCTTCATGGACGCAAGTTGTTCTGGAAGTTAGATCTTATACGAGCATATCACCAAATAAGCGTTAATACGCAAGATATAGAAAAGACGGCAATCATTACGCCGTTCGGTCTTTTTGAATTCCTCAAGATGCCCTTTGGACTGAGGAATTCTGCGCAAAGTTTCCAACGTCTAATGGATGAAGTATGTCGCGGTTTAGATTTTGTCTTCGTGTATATTGACGATGTCTTGATTGCGTCAAACAGCGAAGAGCAACACTTGCAACACTTAAGAATGCTTTTTCAACGATTTCGCAAATTTGGGATGATTATCAATCCAGCAAAATGCCAATTTGGAGTAAAAGAAATCGATTTTCTCAGTTTTCACATTTCATCTGAAGGCAGCACCCCAGCGGTAGAGAAAGTTCAAGCAATTGCTGAATTTCCCAAACCTCAAACAGTTTCTGAGTTGCGTCGTTTCACGTGTATGCTGAATTTCTATCGACGTTTTCTTCCTCAGGCAGCACAACATCAAGCTCCACTCAATGAGTATCTTAAAGGTGCTATTAAGAAGGACAAGCGACTCATAAATTGGACAATTGAAGCTGAGGAAGCTTTTAGTAAATGTAAGTGTTTGATTGTTAATGCCACCCTTCTGGCTCATCCGGTTAGAGATGCTCCGCTAGCACTCAAAGTAGATGCATCAAATCTTGCTATTGGAGCAGTGGTGGAGCAACAAGTTAATGGAGCTTGGCAACCTCTCGCTTTTTTCTTGCGCAAACTTAGTTCTACGGAATGCAAATACAGCACGTATGATCGCGAATTACTCGCTGCTTACAATGCTGTAAAGCACTTTCGTCATTTTTTAGAGGGGCGTGATTTTACTCTTCACTGACCACAAGCCGCTTACATTCGCCTTCAATCAAAATCCTTCAAAAGCTTCGCCAAGGCAATACATACACTTGGATTACATCGGTCAATTCACTACGAATATTGTTCACATTTCCGGTGTGAATAACTCTGTTGCGGATGCTATGTAAAGAATGTAAGAAATTTCTACCATCGATTACGTACAACTCTCTGAAGCTCAGAAAACAGATGAAGATATCAAAAGATTACTTCTATCAACTGATTCTGGTCTTCAATTGAAACTCATACCGTTTCCAGGTTCAGAAACTGAAATTTATTGCGAAGTATCTCAGGGTAAGCCCAGACCTATACTTCCTGTTAGTTTTCGACGACCTGTTTTTAAGATGTTGCATAATCCAAAAGGGAATTTCATCGCATGCCCCGAAAAGGAAAAAAGTCGCTTTCTGCTAGGAAGGGGGTAGTGTGGTGAAACACTTTGATTTAAAGGCACTTTACTTCGTAAACATAATTCACGGGTTTCCTTTATGGCCGTTCGTTAAAGGGGCGGTGGGCGAAAGGTAAGTGGGCGTGGCACCTCTAACCCACCTTTTTGAATGAAGGGAATGAACCCCCATTGACAAAAATGCAACCCCCGCCCACCTAGGTCCGCAATGGTTTCCTAGGGACGCCTTAGAAAAATTGCCAAAAATCGCAATTTTCATTTGCGTTTATTCGCTTGAAAAATGTTAAATATTCATTTGCACAATAAATGTACACATTTTTATATACAAGACATTTTTATAAAACACCCAGTAACCAAAGTAGACATAACGGGGGCGGCAGCCCCAGGTTTACCACAAAGAAAGGGAATTCTAGTTACCTCATCCTTTCCAAGGTTACATCACTGGGGCGGTAGGCCCAGTTAGGTCACATAGAAAGGAGAATTCTACGTAGTAAGGGTTATAATCCCTTAGCGCGGCAGAAGGCCGCCTACGCAGAAAGGAATTCTACGCAAAAATACTGTGGACGCAAGTAAAAATGCGATTTTTGGCCATTTTTCTAAGGGGTCCGTAGGGAACCATAGGGGGCCTAGGTGGTCGGGGGTTGCATTTTTGTCAATGGCGATTCATGCCCTCTCCAAAAAGATCGGTTGGAGGTGCCACGCCCACTCCCCCTCCGCCCACCGCACCTTTAACGAACGGCCATAATGGAAAGTTTCCCCTAATTCACTTTTACTTTTACATTTTACTGTTCAATGACTTTCAAAAATTTTCTTACTTTTTCTTCATTCGTTATTTTGAGCTGTAAAAACGAAAATATTCTTTTCGGGAATAAATAAATTAATTTTGGTTTTAAATTGTTTTCATTAACGATTCTCAACAATCTCTTTGAAAGATTCTAAGACAACAAAACTTAAAAATCTCTTTTTCTGCTCCGAGATTATATACTCTTTAATTCCTCACTTTGGGGGATCTCCCTTCAGGCTCTAGTGGGTGATTTTTTTAAACAAGTGATGTATTAAATTTATTGTATATACCTTTAGGTACTATGTGGAAGTAACGGATGTCCTCACATCTGTTCAGAAAACAGAAGAATCATTACGTCGTTTGCGCAATCTTAAGTCTGGAACTTCAAATGCCTTTACAACAGGAGCAACAGCGATGTCTGATGACGATAAAATACGACTACAACTCCATGTTGATGTGATAACATGGACTGGGGAATTGGCTAAGTTGGGCCTTATGCCATCCGATGTTGAAAACTTGTTCAATTTGAATGATATCGTTGAGGCAAGCTCGAAAATAAAAGGAAGAAACGACAACGAATAAAAAGCAAACAAGAAGGATTTATTGTTTTGTACTAAACATGAACATATTTTAAAAGTAACACTTAAGTATAATTATTACTTTTTATATTTACATGGTACTAATTTACTTTCAGCTTCTCTGATCTAGTTACATTTATACTTATATTTAAATGTAGTTGAAGCGTTATTAGGTACGCATTACAAGACACTTTCTTGGTAAAAATTGCTAAATATATACGTGCATATGTACTACATGCATACATATAAGTAGATTGATATAATCATAGCTGTAGTAAATACATATTCACCTCTATCGCGAGTGTCGACTAGTAATACATAAACGACTATTATTCGATTATCGATTATCCATGGTATTTTCAATGTCGTTTTCTCTTTCAATAAGTGAGTGTGAATGGTTTTTAGTCGTAGAAGGATGAACGTCTAAAACTGTCCACAGTCGCTTATTGAACGGAAATCGACATTCACAATACCATTGAAAAGAGATAATCGAATAATAGCCGTTCATCTACTACTAGTCGACACACACAATAGGGGTGATTGTTTTATTTTTACTGTTATTTATATAAGAAAAAATTATTTTTATTGATATTATAATTTGTAAATAAATGCATTGATAAATTTTGGTGTATATACTTTTTTGTTGAGATTGATGTAACTGGCACAATTTTTTTAAGTCGTTTTACATTATCAAACAAGGCAAAATGTATAAAATCCAGATTTTAAAAAGTGTAAAACTCAAACGACTTGGAGCGTATATGTAAATAGTCCAAAATGTAGACTCTGAATACATTATTACAATTTCAACTCGTCGGTATCAGGCAGTTTTCGGAAGAACCAATCAACGCGTTCTTCAGTTACTGCTTCCAATGTAGAGGGATTCCATCTAGGCATCTGGTCTTTGTCAATGAGAAGGGCACGAACCCCTTCTTTGAAGTCACTGTCTTCCAAATGACGAACAACCATACGATACTCCATTTTTAGACATTGCGGCAGCAGCAGTTTAGAACCTAATTCCAATTCCCGAAATGTGACTTTTAAAGACAGCGGTGAAACTTTTCCAAGTGTCTGTTAATGAAATTTAAAGAAGAAAGAATATGTGTATAATTATGCTGTGTTAATACGAGTATTTAAATGTAATAGTAAACACTCACTACGTTTATGCGTAAGCCCGTTCTCGAAATCATTTCTTGAATTTGAGTAGAAAATCGGTGCATTGACACCTTTTCGTGTATAATTGAATCCATGAAATGGTGTTTATACACTCAAATTCTTGAAATGATTTCGTGAATTGGCCTATCCATAATCGTGCGTTATAGATGCATCTACACACGTTGTAACCGAGCCAAACCAATCGAAAACAAAAAAAATTGTATGAATATTCGGACTTAAATTGGACGAAAAATAATGTTAAGTTTACACTATTTCACATAGATATGACAATTACAATTATCGAAAGCCCGCACCGATCCCGCGTCCACTCAGGTGATCCATGGCGCAATACACAGGTGAAGTAATAAAACAGCTTTTTGGCTTTATTTTCTGGCATTCGGCTGCCTTATAGGGATGTAAATTACGGTGAAAACATCGCTGTTTCGAAAAATTACATAGATGGCAGTTCGATGTATCGAATGAAAACCTCGATGTTTTTACAGATTTTTCTAATTTTTATACAACCGTTTCTTATTGTTAACATATTGACTCAGAGAGGTGGTTTACAAAACAAATATAAAGTAAAAATTTAATCACATATCATGCAAACGGACGTAACAAATATCGTCGCTGAAATTCAAAAAGTCGTAACTAATACAAAATTCAAAATTAAGTTTTTGATTGATATGATGGATTTCATCGAATTACAACTCCCACATCTTTTAATGAAAAAATAAAAAAAAAATTAGTCACGACTTTTTCCATTTCAGTTACGATGTTGTTACGTCTTTTCGCATTTCAGGTGACGATATATTTAAATTTTTCTTTTCACAAATATTGTGAGGAAAGTTTAATAAAATTTCACTGAGCCCGCTACCAGTTTATCAAAATACCTCCAGTACAAGCTTCGTTCGTTTATTACTCTAATTAGAATCCCTGGCGTAATACATACATATATAGTATGTTCCTTTGAACTTCGGACTAAAACCTGTGGAACTGTCAAACTACAATTTTACTCTCTCAAGTGAGAGTAAAAGGAGAACAGATGCAGAAGTGCACGGGAACGCAAAAAGCACTATTTCCTGTATAAACGTCAGTCGGTTTGTTTACATGTCACTTGTACAACACTGATTTGGTTGAAATATCACTAACAAATTACTAAATTCTATACATATTCAAATATTTCGTTGTTTACTTCCATTATTTTACAAATATAAGGTTCTTTGCTTTCACCGCTTTCTGTTTTTGTTTGCACATGCAAATCAGCTGATCGTTTGACACTTTTCATGAACTCACAGGAAAAAAAATCCGGTCTAAATCCTCAGTTGCTCAGATACTCTCTCAAATGTGTTCCCACTTACAGGTTTTATGTCAATAGGAACGACTTCCTGTAAGTTCTGACTAAATCCTGTAAACCGGACTGCTATTGGAACATACTAATAGCTTAACACATATGTACACTACATACTTATAAACCAATTAAAGTATTTCTTACTTATATACGTATACATATATGAACATTTATTAAATGTAATATGGGAATTTAATAAAGAAACATACTTGGGCATGATTCCACGAAAGTACTTATTAATCGCTATTAAACGCTGGCACAACATTTTAAAGCGCGCACAAAACGAAATGGTGAAAAATTAGTCAAGAAACATCTTTGATGTTTTTCAAAACATCGATGTTTTAATTTAACATCGGATTCGTAAAGACATCGACGAACATCGATGTTTGAAGTCACGACAATCGATGTTTGTTTTTACATCCCTACTGGCTTATAGTACAATTTTAAAGCATGCGAAAGGCAGAATGAAAGATGGTTCACATGAGAATGTCACCCCTATTGTGAATGTCGACTGGCAGTAGATAAACGAATATTAAGCGATTATCGATGCTATTGTGAGTGTCGTTTAGACGCTCAATTAGCGACTGTGAATACTTTTTAATCGCCCATCCTTCGATTGCTGGTTTTTAGTCGTTGGTTTGCGTTTATAAAACTTACACAAGAAAGTGGTACTTTAATGGATAAAAAGTAAGACAATTGAACTGGAAGTTGTAAAAAAATTGTGGATTTTACATATGTATGTATGTGTTTGAATTACAGGTCAAAAATTGTAAGCAACAAAGGGCAACTTAGCGGTTGGTCGAGCTGATGCAGGAGAATGTGGACATAGGCAAAGGAATTTGCGGAAAGAGTAGGGGCGGAAGCTCCGCTTCTATTGTGAACGATATACAACATTTATGGTGCATATAACTCCGGCTACGCCATCTACAGTGTTTTTGCGCAGAACCAACATCAAAGTTTACAAAAAACTGCATAATTTATTAATTAACTAGTGCTCGGAAATTTGAAATCTTTATTTTAAAATAAAGTTTAATTTTTTCACTGCACGTGCATGTTAAAGTTGTTAAAATCGGGTCACGCGTTTGGATACAATTACCCAACATCATTGTACAAATAAGTACGCGGTACCGTATTTCTTGAACTAGTTGCGTTCCAGATACTTCACGATTTGCAGGTTTTTACAGGATGCTGTTCCAGATGGCCACCTTCCATAAAGTTTAATATTGCCAGTTTATTATTAACAGCTTTTCCTGTAAATTCTGCAAAACCAACAAACCGTGAAGCATCTGGAACGCAACTATTATTCATGAAATTCACATATGTATATACACTTCATCTTCCAACTCCAAGGTATTCGACGAATCTCGCAATTTCCTCCTTGCTTTAGCCAATTCTACTAATCTATTAGCTTTCACATCACCTTCCTCATCACTAAAGCATATTTCAACTGTATCCATTTTTTTAATTTTCTAATAAAAGCAATTATTTTAAAAATGATGTAAATGAAACACTAAAGAAACAAATGTAAACAAACAAACAGCCGTTTACAATTCAGTCAACCATTCACAGTAGTACAAATTTTTTTCGATCAAGTTACACAATAGCAAAATAAAAGATAATCGACTCGATCGACAAATTTCTACTCTACTGCCAGTCGACACTCGCAATAGGGGTCTGAAAGAATTATGAAATAGCAGAATATCGAACCAAAAACTAATTTCAAATATCTGATAATGCGAATGACGTTAAAATGAAAGAATTGTAAAATATCGAAATGTCGAAACAGAAGAAAAAGATTACAGGCACGTATTCAAGGAAAAGTGTCGTGTTGCGCCATTCAATATTTAAAAAAACTTTAATGAGGCTAAATTTACTCCTATACGCTTTTTTATTTAGTTTGCAAAACTACATATTTCGCCAGTCAAAAAGTATATATGTACATATCGCACGTTTAATAATATAGAGATGTAACTCAAAATTTACGTTTTTTGAGATTTCAATATGCAATTAATAAGCTTGATAAGTAGAATATGTTCAGTCTAACAGATAACCAAACTCCCCAAACATGGCGAAGATATGTGTCTTTCCATCTGTCTTTTTTTATACCAATTGTATGAAATTATAAAACTTTGATTGCGTTTTCTCACAAAATTGAAATATTGAAATACTTCCTCATATTATTAAACGTGCGATATATAGCATCCCGCCATAAGATTTATTTATATGCTAATGTCCTTATTCATAAAAAATAAGAAAAGATTCCAAGAGCTATATAAAGTGTTTTGATTTGTAAAACAGTTAGTCTTTTTATTTTTTATGAACTTGGGTGTAATCAAGGTATATTAAACATAGTATGATTGACAACTCAGTGGGGCTTTCTTTTAAGGTATTATCATATCAAAAAATAAACAAACGATTTAAAATCAGGGATCGAACATAACAGTTATTGATGAAAATTCACCATGAAGAAAATGTTCTACAACTAAGTAATACACACCAATCAATTTCTTTATTCACCAAGAATCAGATTTGAAAATAAATTTTCATTTGTAATTTTTGTGCAAAATTAAAAAAAGATAACTAATTTTGATTTTTATTTTACAAACTAAAAATAACTATTATTTTTGATTTTAATTTAAATAATCTGTAAATAACATGATTTTTATGTATAATATGTCTTAGACAACAGTTATTGAATACTTTTATTTAGACGTATAAAAGTCATTATAATTTTTCGAAGTTAAGAAGGTGTTGTAGAACCAAAGTTTACTACGTTTATACAAATGACTTTTATTGATGGATTTTATAAATAAAAGCCTTCAGTAACTGCTATCTAAGATATATAATTTAAAAATCAAAAATAACTGTTATTTGCAGATTATTTAGATAAAAATCAAAAATAAATTGTTATTTTGGATTTATAAAATAAAAACAGAAAAAACTGTTATATAAGGAGTAATTAAGTAAAAGTCAAAAAATAATTATTAAATTGTGATTTTTTTAATAAAATTTGTAACTGTTACGGTCCCTGTTTAAAATTCATATTTTGTTCAATTTGACTTTATAGCATGGTACAATAATTACAGGTATTGTCTTCCCAGAGAGCGCATATTCGGATCTGCCTTATTTGTGTTGTTGCCCACACTAAAAGGTTTACTGCTAGAGAAAAGTGATATTTCCATACCCCATATACCATATATCGACGCTCCCAACGAAGAGTAGCACATCTCAAATTACCGTGGAAGACTAGCACGTTTCATTATTCGCGTCGAAGACTAGCACATTTCAGATTTTCGCGTGGAAGACTAGCACATTTCACTATTCGCGTGGAAGAATAGCACATTTCAGAATTTTGCGCGGAAGAGTAGCACATTTCCGATTTTCGCGTGGAGGAGTAGCACATTTCACTATTTGAGTGGAAGACTAGCACATTTCAGATTTTTGCGTGGAAGAGTAGCACATTTCAGATTCTTGCGTAGAAGAGTAGCGAATTCATATAAAGTGGTACTAGCAGCCGTACAAAAACCAAACATACATGTATGTTATAATTATTTCTCCTCGACTAAGCTGAGAGTTTAATGTTGTGTATGGAGCTTTTCGGTATTTTATTACAAATAGAATAAACGTTTATTTTCCTCCTACTTGTTTTGACGCATATCCGCGTCTTCCTCAGGGAATCTATTTATAAATTCGAGAAACATATATGCACATTAGGGTGGTCCAAAAATGCATGTGAAAAAGTAAAGTCGGAATTTTTATGCTCTCACCCCTAGGATTGTTCTATACCGAAAAAAATATACCCCTATTTTTTTATTTTGAAAACAAAAAATATTTTGAGGTCGCTCAAAGCGCCCAAAGTTTTCCATGTATTTTATATGGGGAAAAAAACTTTTGGTAGAAATGGTTTGGAATTCAAAAAAACTAATGTTTTTCTATCGGAAAACTCTTTTCATCTGCAGGATTCCCAATAATAATACCCAATTGTTTATTTAACCATTTTTTCATCGCAACTATAATTTGTAGGTCCGCCAAAAACCCACAAAAACCCCGAAAAATGCAATGAGGGGACAATTAAAAAATCGTTAAATAAATAATTGGGTTTTATTATTGTAAGTCTCCTGAAGAGAACCAGAGTTTTTCGATCGAAAAATATTGATTTTCAAGAATTCTATACCATTTTTACGAAGTTGTTTTTCCCCGTATAAAAATACATGGAAAGATTTGAGCGCTTTGATGAGCGACCTAAAAATAAAAAATAGGGGTACACTTTTTTCTATATATATATAAATCCGTTCGTATTGGCTATGAAATCTCATGCCAAGTGTGCAAAAGCAAATTTCATAAAATCTGTGCTAAAATCGACAATAAAGATCTTTCTGATTTACTTGCTAATAATGAAAACATTGTTTTTAATTGCAACAATTGTCTAACTTGTACATCGAATTTGGCTTCGACGATTGCTTGTTTAACTAAAGAGGTCAACGACCTTAAAGGCTTAGTAGTGAAATTAATCAGTGGAGAAGTTGTTATTGCTTCGCCTGCTCCTATTGCTGCTCAGACTAGTTCGCTGATACCTGCTATCAATACTTCAGTTGCTTCGTCTTTTCTTGCCGACAATGCTGCTAATAATTAGTCTGTTCCTTTGAACTTCGGACTAAAACCTGTGGAACTGTCAAACTACAATTTTACTCTCTCAAATGAGAGTAAAAGGAGAACAGATGCAGAAGTGCATAGGAACGCAAAAAGCACTATTTCCTGTAAAAACGTCAGTCGGTTTGTTTACATGTCATTTGTACAACACTGATTTAGCTGAAATATCACTAAATTATTATTAAAATCTATACATATTCAAACATTTCGTTGTTTACTTCCATTTTTTTTTACAAATATAAGGTACTTCGCTTTCACCGCTGTTTGTTTTTGCTTGCACATGCAAATCAGCTGATCGTTCGACACTTTTCATGAACTTACAGGAAAAGAAACTCCGGACTAAATCCTGTAACTTCTGACTAGGAACAGTTGCTCAGTTACTCTCTCAAATGTGTTCCCACTTACAGCTTTTATGTCAATAGGAACGACTTCCTGTAAGTTCTGACTAAATCCTGTAAACCGGACTGCGATTGGAACAGACTAAATTCATCTACATCTACTGTTGTTGGCTCTACGTCATCGTTAGCGCAAAAAATTTCTGTCACCAAGCCGAATATCGTGCCTATTGTTGCTGCATTTAAAGCTAATAGTGCTCAGTTACCTGCTTCCACAGTAAACTCTGAGACTACGACTGCTCTCACTACTTTGACTTATGCGCAATCTGTTGTTGGTGATATGGCTACTAATTCTGCGCCTTCGTCTAGTGCTGCTACGGATGATTGCCACTGGAATGAGCTCTAACACTGACTTGGAGGTGGCGGATGTGAAGAAATGGTTTCACTTGTCCTCCTTCCTTCCATCCGTAACAGCAGAAAATATTGTTGATTACGTAGTTAGGCATGCTGGTATAAACAAAAAACATCTTTCATGTTATGCTTTAGTTAAAAAACAGAATCCGCCTGTTAAAGCTAATAGGATTAATTTTAAGTTAGGTGTATCTCTGCCACTTTATGAAAAGCTTCTTTCACCAGATATTTGGCCTGCTAACGTTAGTCTGCGCCCTTTTCGTTTTTTTCGAAAAGAAGATCAACAGAGACTAACATAAATGTATCTAATGCTATTATTGGATGTAGTACTAGCTTAAAAGTGTATTTTCAGAATGTATCTGGTCTTCGGACCAAGGTTGAAGCTGTTCATACTCATAGCTCTCAATTGGATTATGACATTTACGTAATTGTTGAGACATGGCTTAATGGAAATTTTTTGGATGAAGAATTGTTCGACTCTAAGTTTTATAATGTGTACCGAAAGGACAGAGATATGATAAAAACTGGCTGTATAAGAGGCGGTGGAGTTCTTATTGCCGTTCGGAGGAAGTTGTGTTCATAAAATGTTGATTTAGCTAATAATGACTCTCTTATTGACCAACTTTGTATTTGTATTAGTGGGCCCTCTTCTAAGGGTTCTCTTTACTTCGTGGTTTCCTACATTCCTCCAAACAGTAATAATGAACTGTACTGCGCGCATGCTAATAATATTAGCTCATTAGTCACGAATAAGTTAGGAGATAATCACTTATGCGTATTAGGTGATTTTAACCTATGCAACGTGTCTTGGTCCGGTTCGTTTTCAAACTTTGGCCTTACCCCAATGAATATTACAGCACATCATGAGTCGTATCTCCTTGATAATATTCTAAGTCTTAACTTAATGCAAATCAATAATTTTTTTAATGAATTAAATAGAATCTTGATCTTGTATTTGTAAGTGATAACATCAATTGCAACATTGAGGAATGTTACTCTCCTATATCTATTTGCGCTAAACATCATGTGCCTTTGGTTCTCATATTTGCTTTTCATGACTTTTTGAATTCACCTGCCACCGAAATAGTTGGTTTTAATTTTTCTGGGTGTGATTTTTCCATGATAAATAGCTTAATTACTGAAATCGATTGGGAAAAAATTTTGGTTTGCCCTGATGTATATAGTTCTTTCTCTATTTTTAAAACTCTTTTATTTGAGATTTGCGTAAATAACATTCCAGCTATTAAGAAACGTCCACATAAGTTTCCTTGGTATAATTTAAGATTAAAAAAATAAAAAATCTAAGAAAGAAAAGGTTTAAAACAACTGGAAACCAGTAGCTCGTTTCTATAACTCAGTGGAGAAATTGTCTACTGCTATTGACTTTGTTCTCAACCACCAAGCTTTTGTCAATCGTTGAGACTTTAATGTTTCTATAACTCCGAAAACTCACCTATAGAGAAATTCGTGTTGAGTTGAAATTGAAAAGTAAATTTGAAAGTTTTGACATTTATTTTTGAGAAATGAGTATGTTACACAAAATTGTGTAAATCAGCAAATAATAAACAAATGAACAAAATAATAAGAATTAGAGACCAACTAACATAATTAATTATTTAACATAAATTTTATAAAATGAGTGAGATACGTGTGATCATTTATGCTATAATGTACGATAACCGAAATATGCTTCGAGTTCAACGTCGGCGGTTGCGAGATTCATGTGATCCATTTATAATCCCTGAGGCGCGTTTAATAGAACTTTTTCGGCTAAATAAAGACGCTTGCATAAATCTTTTGGAGGAAATTAATCCTTTTATGAAGAGTGGTGTTAGGAATACATTTATTCCAAAAAATTTGAGTGGTAGCTGCCGTTCATTTTTATGCAACTGGGTCATTTCTGCGCGATATTGGGCAGGATTTCATTTGTCCTTTAAGCAAAACTATATCACGCATAATACACGAGATAACGGATATCATAGTGAGAAAATTAATGAACAAATATGTGAAATTTCCTAGTACAAGCGGGGAGTTCAGCGCCATTCAGCAAAGGTATGCAAAAACAGGAAATTTTGAGTTGTGCCGTTATTGCAGAGGATCATCGATATGTATATACAATAGTACTCATATTTTAATTTTACTTTATGCAGGTTTCATGTGTGTACAACATTTCCCGGCGTTATAGGAGCAATTGACTGCACGCATGTCAAAATTAAGAAACCAAATACAGATGTGGAGCACTGTTATCGTAATCGTAAAGGTTTTTTTTCAAAGAATGTACAGCTTATATGTGACTATGATTTAACGATTCTTGCTTGCTATGGTCGTTTTGGAGGCAGCACTCATGATGCTTTCATATGGAGTAGCAGTCACGCATAAGCTTTCTTAGAAGATAAACATAGAAGTGGAATATCAAATATATGGCTACTTGGCGATTCGGGGTATCCCCTGCAGCCATGGCTTATGACGCCGATTGGAAATCCGCAATGCACAGCTGAAATGAAATACAACGAAACCCATATTCGTGCTAGAAATTGCATTGAACGACTAAACGGCGTGCTGAAAAAAGTATTTGCTTGCTTATCCCAAGACTTATGGTTACGCCATCATTTGCTGGTTATATAATCAATGCTTGTTGTACATTGCATAACTTTCGAAAGAAATACAATATTGCAATGCCAGATGTTGATATTACCGAACGAAATATACTTGAAGAAGACAATAATCTTAACTTGTCTAATAATATTTTAGCCGAAGGTCGTAGAACCCGGCAAATGATCATCAGAAATTATTTTTCAAATTAGAAAAACTAAAAATGCAGTTTTGCTACATTTGTTTTTTAGTTTCGCGAGTGTATTGCTTTCTTTGTGTAAAACTTACTGTCGCAAGGTTTTAATATTGTGTTCTTTACTTTGTATCTATTGAATAGTTGTCCGTCTGTTTAATGTGTGTACTAAACAATAAACAAGTTTAAATATATATATTTTTGGAATTTTTATTTGTTAAGAGCTTTTACAATTTTTTCCAGCAGTTCATTCGTCCGCCGTTGTTCCCCTTTTATCTGTTTCAGCTCTTCTTTCACCTCATTCATGTACCTCTCCTGACTGGAAAGGCGAGCTTCAAGTTCTTTTTTTGCCTTCTCTAGCTCCGAATACAGTGGTTCCTTGCTCTGCTGCGAATTTTTAGCTATTTTCCGCCGTGGCGTGTTTATCGGGCTTTTGTTTTTGGAGCAGGTGGTCTTGCTGACAGATACCTCAATGACATCCTGATTCAGGTACTCCTCTTCCATACATATAATGTCATCGTCGAGCGCCGGCTAAATTTTAAGATTGTTATTCAGAGAAAAATGAATCAAAGGAATATATATTATAATTACAAGAGGTATATCGAATCCCCCCTCCACAGTTTTGCCATCACCATCAACAACATCCGATACCAAAATGAAGTTAACCACTTCTTCTTCCAAACTATCTAATGGCTTTGGTCCTGAACAGCTTGGAAGGTTTCCCGTCTGGTTTTGAAACCTTTTGATTGCGGAAAACTTTTGCTTTATGGACGCCTTCCAATCAATCCAACACTAAAACAATTTATTAATTAAAATTAAAATTTATTACACAATCAACTACAATATAATATATATACATATGTACATACTCTTTTCCACTGCTCAGCACTTTTATTGGCTCCCCCGACAGCATTTAAATCCACAGCAACTTCTTCCCACTTTTCCTTATTTCTCTTGGAGCTATCCGGGCCAGAGAACTGCCCACAAGCCAGCGTACGGTTTTGCCGCATATGCTCGACTAGTTGTTTTTTTTTGAATTTGCGTTACGCGCGCTGTTAACCTTTTCTAAAAGTAAAAATAAATTTAAATATAACCGATTTTAAATTAAAAAACATGACTTACCGTATTCATTCTTAACTCGTTTTGTCAGTTCTCACTTGCTAAAGAGCAGTTGACAATATCTCTGCTAGTAGAGAATTCAAAACTCTACTCCCCACACTTACAGAAACACAATAGTAGAGAATGGCGTCAATTTGACGTCCCATTCTCTATCAGTAGAGAAATAATCGGTAGAGAACAGTTACAGAAACGAGCTACAGATCTTCTTAGTTAAATATAAAAAATTTCAAAAGCAATTTAGTTGTTTAGAAAAATTCTTTACAGAAACTATTTGCTTGATGTTGAATCAAAAATTAAATCCAACCCGAAGTCTTTTTGGCATTTCATTAAAGCGAAAAAATCTAGTTCCGGTATACCATCTGCTGTTTTTTTTCATGACAAATATGCTCACTGTCCCGCAGATATCGCCAATCTTTTTGCTGAATTTTTCGGTTCGAATTTTACCCAGGATGTTTGCACGCCCTCAGCAGACTTTAACTTTACGGCTAATTCATCTTTTTGTTTTGGATCCCTAAGTTTGTCTTTCAATGACGTTGCCAACGGTATCTCCAAGTTAAGACTGTCTGTGAAGACGGATATTGATGGCTTTTCAGCCGTCCTGTTTAAAAACTGTCCTGGTTTAGTTATCCCATTGAAAATAATTTATAATATGTCTCTAGCCTCTGGGGTTTTCTTAGATGACTGGAAAATAACTTCCATCAACCCTCTTTTTAAAAGTGGGAACAAAAGTGATGTTTGCAATTATAGGCCAATATCAAAGTTATCGTCTGTATCTAAACTTTTTAAAACTATTGTAGTTGAAATATTAAATTTTGTAACGAAGAGTTTGATTTTGCCTTATCAACACGGTTTTGTTGTTAATCGATCAACGGTTACTAATCTTGCAGTTTTTAGTGAGTATTGCATTGCATCTTTTGNAAATTTAGAATATGCCGTAATTATTTGGAGACCTTCACAAAACTATTTAATTAGTAGGATTGAACGTGTTCAAAAGGTCTTCTTGAAGTTTTCACTACGTACCCTAAATTTTTCAGAACCTTTGCCATCATATAGATCACGTTTACTTTTAATAAGTCTGAAGTCTTTAGAAGCTAGAAGATCTGTACTATCTTTATCTTTTACTTTTAATTTAATTAGAGGTGTTATTGATTGTCCTGTTCTTTTGGAAAAAATTAATTTTAATATTCCTCAGCGAAACCTGCGTAACTTCTTACCATTCTAGGGGGGCAGGTACAAAACTGAATACTCCCGTAATGCCCCTATTCCACGAGCTTTAAACGAACTTAATATGATTTCAAACAATGTTTCAATCGATTTTGCATTTTCATTAGATGTTTTTAAAAACTCTTTGGATTCTNTTAGCCTCCTTGGGGTTCCATTCAATTTTTTTGCAATGGATTAAATCGTATTTAAGTAATAGGCGTTGTGTTGTCACAGTAGAAGGTGTAACTTCTGAGCCTTTTATAGCCACTTCTGGGGTACCCCAAGGGAGTATATTAGGCCCTTTGCTCTTCATATTATTTATCAATGATATAAGCCATTGCTTTTCTTTTGCTAATTTTTTCCTATACGCTGACGACTTGAAAGTTTTTTCTATAATAAAAAGTCCCGCTGATTCAGTTCAGCTTCAGGCTGAAATAGACAACCTACATGTTTGGTGCACTAAAAATATTCTTGCCTTGAATATTAAAAAATGTTTCAAAGTTACGTACGCAAAAATACACAAAACTGTGCCTACAAGTTATATAATATCTAATTCTGTTTTAGAATCAATTAACGAAATCAAAGATCTTGGAGTAATTTTTTCTTCGAATTTTACTTTCAGCAGCCATATTTCTCACATTGTTGCTAAATCGTATGCGATGCTGGGTTTCGTAAGGCGTAATAGCACAAAATTTTTGATCCCTACACGCTAAAATTACTGTATACCTCTTTTGTTCGGTCAAATTTAGAATATGCCGTAATTATTTGGAGACCTTCACAAAACTATTTAATTAGTAGGATTGAACGTGTTCAAAAGGTCTTCTTGAAGTTTTCACTACGTACCCTAAATTTTTCAGAACCTTTGCCATCATATAGATCACGGCCTGAAGTCTTTAGAAACTAGAAGATCTGTACTATCTTTATCTTTTACTTTTAATTTAATTAGAGGTGTTATTGATTGTCCTGTTCTTTTGGAAAAAATTAATTTTAATATTCCTCAGCGAAACCTGCGTAACTTCTTACCATTCTAGGGGGGCAGGTACAAAACTGAATACTCCCGTAATGCCCCTATTCCACGAGCTTTAAACGAACTTAATATGATTTCAAACAATGTTTCAATCGATTTTGCATTTTCATTAGATGTTTTTAAAAACTCCTTGGATTCCATTTTCTAGTTCTTATCTATTATTATTTAGTAACTAAGCTGAATTTTGTTATTAGTCTGTAAGGAACTTTTATAAGTTTATTAGACTAAATAAATAAATAAATAAATAAATATAGAACAATCCTAGGGGGTTAGACCATTACAATTCCGACTTTACTGTTTTGGACCACCCTAATGTACATGCAGTCATATCAAGAGCACCTCATTTCAAAGTGATATTGTTTACCACTTATGTTCATTTATTTATTTTTAAGAATTTTCTTTCAAATTTAAAACTGTAGAAAACTAAAAAAATCTAAAAATGTTCATTCAAATGTCNTAGATATAAGCCCTTTCAATTTGATTGCAATAATGTGCAAGTTTCAAGTGGCTAAAAATTTCCGTTGCTGCGGTTTTCTTCCATATAAAAATAAATTGTGTTTATTCGTTATATGGTAGCGAATGCGACAAAAAGAATCAAAGGTTTTAAGGCTGTTGAAACTTGCACACTGGGCGCGTTTATAAGACGTAGCTGTTGCCCAACCGTTGGCTATTTGTCTTAGAAACGCACAGTTGAGTAGTTCCGCTCAGCTCAACAGTTGGCAACTTTCCGCCATTTCAGCGGAAAATGTTTACGCTACCTGAACCCAACATGTTGGGCTTACCCTAAACAGCTGATCGAAAATATATTAAATTTAACGCCACTTCGTTAGGTGGCAGTTGCAAACAAATTTATTATATTTTATTGTGATAAGATAACTATAATATTTTATAATAATACTACGTTTCTAAATATATGTTTTTAAGATGTTTGCTATATAATTTTACACTGTTTAATTCATTGTAACATTGAACGATTTTTTCAACACGGCGGCAGCTCAGCGTTGAATTCTAAATACTCAGCCCTATTCTGCATTTCGATTACGTTCCCGCATTCCGCTCCGCTGGAATCGAACTTAGGTATTCTGCGTTACGATCGAAACGAAAGAAGAAGAGGAAGAGAAAAAACATCTTTCGAAATCAGCTGTTTGCCTAGGAATGTGTGAAATCGAAACAAAACAAAGAAATATTTGCCACCAAACTATAGCAGCATATGAACTTAAAGTTTGTAAATATTTTAATATAACTAAATATACCTAGCATCACAGTAATTTAAAAATAAAATTTAAGTGGATACATAATTATAAGAATGAAATCCATAGCCGCGGCGTTATTGCTTGAAGAGAAGAACGAGTCCCATATTGCTGATGCGGAATTTGAAAGGCGGAGATTTAGGGACATGTTTGATCTTTTTCAGATGAGCGAAGTCATAAGGAATTCATCTTGAACTGTGTTACTCATCGCTTAGAGTCAGTGAAATTATAAACGTTGTTTGAGCACTCCACAACATTTGCATTTACTACAGAGTGGAAGATTTGAACGCAAATGAATCCCATTTTGAAAGCCGTCAGGAGGAGGGGAAGAACAAAGCTTATCTTTCCATAGCAAATCGAATTCGA